CAGGACCCACCCAGGGAGCCCCACAGATGCAGGGCCATTTGGCCTGCCTGCCTCCCAGCCCCTCTGGGCACTTTGTCAGCTGGGGTGAAGGCAGGCACGGAGGAAGGGGCAGCTAAGTATGAATAGTCTTCCAAACACCCCCACTGTCCTCCAGACCCCAAATCTGAGACTGCAGGTGGTGGGTACGAGGCAGCTGGCTCCCCACTGCTGGCAAAACCCACACCTATGGCTGGAGGAGGGCTGGCTCGGGCACCATGATTCCTCAGCCAGGTTAGGCGGGAGGGGATGCTGATGGCCTAGTGATTCCCACAAACTCAATTCATGTAATGAAAGATGGCGCAGGAGAGCGGGCCGGCGGGGTAATTTGGCTGCCGGTGCTGGAGGCACAGATGACGCCCACAGAGCCCCCCCAGAGTCCCTCTCTCACAGTGACTAACAGGATCCATCATGGGCTCAGAGACTGCTTTTCCTACAGTGATTAGGGGAGCACCTGTGTGCACCTGGGCCTGGGGCCTCGCACGGTTCTCGCTGGCCTGGCTCCCGGGCTGTGCAGCAGACACTCCTGTCCAGCTCATGCTCACACTCACAGGGGGGGAGGGGGGCATCACTGGTGCAGGAGGGGCCGTCGGTTTGCTGCCCTGGAGGCTGGCTTTTGAACTCACGCAGCCACGTGGCAGAAGGAGAAACGCCAGGAGAATCAGCAGCCTTAGGGACCTCAACCAAGAGAGCCAGCAAGGCGCGCAGCACCACGTGTCCTGCCAGGCTGCACACAAATGGATCTGGTGGCTGGGGGCCCCCCAAGGGGCAGGAGCTACAGCCTCAGACAGGGTCCCCTCTGAGGGCCGGCAGCTGTGCTCATGGATCCCCTGGGCAGGAGGGGAAACTGCTCAGAGGACCCCCCACAGGTCCACTCTCCCCCAACCCAGTGGCCGACCGGGCCGAAGCCCTGGGCCCGGCCCTGTCACCCATAGATGTGGGATGGGCTTCAGGGCAGGACCCAGCCCCTCCAAGTCGGGGATCATTCTGATGCCGGCTGCAGGCCACCACTGACCAGGCTGCAGGCCACCAACCCCTCCGCCCCCACTGCCTGGGGACACGCATTTCTGTGGGGACCCACCAGAGGTACCCGAACCACCACCCTTCAGTGAACTCAATTCCCGCTCCGACTCAGCGTCCCGTCAGCCTCATGGCGGAGCAGGATCCAGCCTCCACAGGGAGCTTGGCTGTGTCATTAGCTTCTGATGGGGAAATCTGGCCCAAATCAGGGCGGAGGCGGTCTGAGAGGCCTCCTGCAGGCTGAGCACGCCCCAGGGCCCCGTGCGCAGTGCCGGGCCTGCCGACTGCTCCGAGCGGCTGGGTAATGAGGACAGGCCCGGGCGGGAGGCGCCTGCTTGGATCACTGCAGCCAAAGGCAGGGGGGCCAGTAATTGCATCAGTGCTGGGTGGAGCATCTGGGGACAGACACATGGGGACAGGAAGAGGCGAGGCAGAGAGGGAGGCCTGGTGACATGCTCTCTGTGGCTCCCAGGGGCCACTCGGCCTGCCTGTGAGCTCAGTCCATGCCTCTGGCCCAAGAGACTTGGGCCGCCAACGGAGTGAGGGTCCAACTGGCCCCAGGCAGGGCATCCCTCCCACACCCCCAGGGCCCTGGGCCAGCCCAGCCGAGTGATACACCGCCCTGAGCGAGCCACCCTCAGCGCGCCCTCCATGAGCCTCTGACACAGGGAAGGGCCGCAGCCACTCTGGTGCCCCAGCTCCCGAGAGGGAGACTAGCTTGCCCAGAGACGCGCCACCCCCAAACGAGGCCCACTTCTCAAAGACGCAAACCTGCCCTGGGAAAGATGTTGGGGATGCCCAGCGCAGTGGACGGTGACCACCCCGGACATGACGGGCTCCCACGTCCTCCCTGCCACCCAGCTGGACAGCGCCAATCAGGAGCTTGGGCGTGCGGCTGCGGTACCAAGCAGAAATGCACGTGTGTGCATGCGCACCTGCCCCAGGGCACTCGAGCACGCAGCAGGCTGGCCTTGCGAAGATCAGTCACCAGGGCTGCAGGGGCCGGTGAGCCACTGCTAAGGTGTGGAGCAGAGTGGCTGACGCAACGGCCACGTTCTGGGGTGGTCTCTCATCTGAAGAAACACAAAGCGCGCTGCCAGGAAAGCAGCCGGGGCCCAATTAGGAGCATTTCTGACTCTCCCCAGCAAGGCAGGGAAGCCGTCGGCACATGGGACTGGACGGTTTATTCTTCCAGATCTCCTTATTGACAGAGCATGCCCCTGCAGCGGGGGTGCTGCTGCCTATAGACCCAGGGCTGTTAGTAAATAAGGTTTTACTGGCTCGTGGCCACGGCCCTTTGTGTAAGGCAGCTTCCACAAAAGCTAAGCGGCCGGCCACGTGGTTCCCTGGCAGGCCCTGAACACTCAATTCGGTCAGACAGTAACTTGTGGTCAGCTGCCCTCCGGAGGGCTCAGCCCTGCATCACCGTCCAGCGTGGGGTGCCCACTGCGGCAACCCGGTCTCTCCCTCACCAGACACAGCCCTTCGCTCGTGACCCTCCCTCCAGAAGACCCACCCAAAGCCGGCGGGAGAAGACGATCTGCCCTCGGCTGCAAGCTCTCTGCTGAAGCCTGCCTGGTGTGGGTAGCTGCCAGCTCCACATCAGCCACCGCAAGGGGCACACTGCCAATGGGGGGGAGGATGTACTTTTTAGAAGACACCTAACTGGAGGTCACAGGAACTTAGTGGCCACCCTCCAACTTTCTGACAGTGACCCCTGTTGGCAGGGTTGGACAGACGTGTCCACATCAGGGCCTGCAGCTCCCTCTGTGCTGAGCTTGGTGGTTCCCCTCCCAAACGCTGACCCCTAGGCCAGTAAGCCGTGGTGCCTGAGTGTGAGAGCCTGGCCTCAGCCTCCACCCCTTCTGTTTGCTGAGGTGGGCTTGCAGCCCCCAGCATTCCTGGGTTCCACTGCAGGGGGCCTGATCAGAGCTCAGGGTGGGGGCCAGGGAACAGCTGGGATGCATCCCTGCTGCCCAGGGCCAGGGCCGCCCCTCCTAGCAGGTCAGCTGGCTCCAGGCTCCCGCCTGGCTCTGTGTCCCAGTTTTCCTAATGAACCAGATGCGAACGAGGAGAAGGGCCGGGAATCTAGGTCCTTGGGAGCGGCATCTGGGGTCAGGCTGCCCTGACTGAGCGGCACCTGGTGGCTCTTCTATGCTTTGTGGGTGGGGGAAGGGGGTCATGGGCAACGCGCCTACTCACGCACAGCCACTGAGTTGACGCTGACTCACAACGAGTGACACTGTTGTCAGGTGCCATCGTGTGGGTTCTGACTCACAGCAACGGCATGCACTGGTGGGTGCTGCGTGGTCCTCACCATTGTTCTGATGTGGGCGTCTGGGGTGCAGCCATTATGTCCATCCATCTGTTTGTCACGGCCCCTGACAACATGTCCTAAGTATGCGAGACGAACTCTCGGCATCCTGGCGCTCCACCGCTCCGAGAGACCTTGTGCAGCAGTCACGCCCCACAGTGCTTCCTGGAGACCTCCTGACCGCTGCTGCCATGAGCATTAACTCTGGATCCAGACAAGATGAAGCCCTTGACGCGGCCCATCTTCTCTCGTTTGTCACCGTGTTGCCTCGCGGAACGTGACACCACCCAGGGCTTCTGAGGCCATCAGTCTTCACAGGAGAGGCGGCTGGTCAGTTCGAACCACCTACCTCAAGGTTAGCAGCCCCAACGCCTAACCCACGGTGCCACCAAGTCTGTGGGGAGGAGGGTCCATTTGCTTCCAGGATGCAGCTCTGACCCACTTCCACCCAAAAGCAGTCACCCTCATAAGCAGCTCAGGGAGGGCCCGAAGCCTGGCGGGGCCATGGCAGCCGGTGTGCCATTCCAGGGAGCTTCCAGACAAACCCAGGCTAGGAAGGCAGGCCTGGAGGGCCCCGACAGCCCAACTGCGGACGCCCATGAAGCATTATGCTTCTCCGTGCTTGGGGCCAGCTCCACGGCCCACGGCAGCTGACGACCCGTAAGAGGAGCCAAAGCGGCAAGAGACACTCGACTGTGTTACACGTGAGGCCCGAGGAAGCCCTTGCTTCGGG